CACGAAACGGAGGCCCTCCTTTCCTTTCTGTCTCCGGCCGGTTGGGAACGCAAGGAAGGGGGGGGGAGAGAGAGAGGAAAACCCGAGCCACCGGGAGACCCGGCTTCAGAGGCGCACAAAAGAGCCGCCGACCTCTCCCCTCCTCCCACCCCGCTCCCTCTCCTGACTCCCTCCCTCCCGCTCGCTCGCTTTTTTTCTCTTTCCCCCCCCCTTCCGCAAATAACAATTTTTCCATGTCATCTTTCTTAACTGTCCAGCTTTCACACCCATACATGGTGACTGGAAATATGACGCATCCTTACACTTGATGATCTTTTCTAGTTCCTTCATTATCCTGTCCTTCCTAGTTTCTTGGGACTCCCATTCCAAATATTCTGGACTCCCACACCCATGATGCTTTATCATTGTTCATGCTTGTTGGGAGTCATGGAAGATAATGTCTAACAAGTGGAAGGGCCCAAATCCCCCACTCCTATCTTAAAGGCTCTAGATATGATTGTGTTGTGGTTATTATAGGAGAACTGTGACTGGGAACTGGAACGTGCCTTTCCCCTCAGCCTAGCTCTTATCTGGGTCTGCAGAGGTGAGCGATAACTCATGGCACAGCACACATGCTTTATATGTGTAGGATACAAGGTCCTGTCTTTGGCATCACCAGTGAACATAGGAAAATCAGTTGGTTCCTTAGTCTTACCCAAGAGGATAGTGCAAGGTTGGGCTGGATAGGTCAACAGCATGGCCTGTATATGGCACATTCACAAGGTCCTGTATATGGGCTCAACACTACAGTGAGGGGGGAATACACAAGTTACTCTGGTGGGACACCAAGCAATCGGAATGACAGAATGTGAGACTAGGGGTTTGCACCAATATGGGGTGTGTGCGCATTCCCTCCACTCCCTCACAAAGCTACCCGCGCGGCCGCTCCGCTCCTACTTCGACGCTCTTGTCTCGCGCGCCCGCCCGCACGGCCAGTTGACGGAGTTCAAGGATTTCTGTGGGGTGTTTTTTTTTCCCCTTTCTTTTTTTTTTAACTCTTTCGGGGCCGCGCGAGGCAGGCAGGCACAGGCGCGCGCGC